AAGGCGCCGGACGCGTCGAGCTCGTCGACGGTCTTGTCCGCGCCCCAGAACTCGGCGCCCGGCGCCAGGCTCTCCACGGCGGCCGTCGTCGACCGGCGGACGACGTCCACCAAATCGGACGCGGCCGCGGCCCGCTCCACGAGCACCTCCGCGCAGGCCTTGTCCGCCAGGAGCGTCCGGAGGCGCGTGCGCATGGCGTCGTCCTCGAACTGGGCCAGCGTGAACGTGCCCGTGGGCGCGTCGCACACGCAGACTCCGTACGTGAAAACGCCGTCGACCTCGCGCTCCCGGACGGCCGCGAGGAGCGTGGGCCCGGCCACGGGCTCGAAGCCGCCGCCGTCCTTCTCGAGGCGCATGTCGAGCACGGAGTAGGTCCGCGTGCCCGGCGTGACGACGCTGCAGACCTCGCGGCGCATCGTCTTCTCCGCGGACGACGGCTTCCGGCCCTTTTTTTTAAGCCGCTCGACCCGCAGCTTCGTGCCGTCGGGCGTCTCCGTCTGCTCGACGCGCGCGACCTTGTGGCCCTTGGCCACGAGGGCCTCGACGTACTTGCCGTAGGCGAGCTCGGGGAACCCGGAGTGAGCCTGCTCGCCCTTCATGTAGACGAGGCCGCCGTCGCGGACGCCGACGTCCGCGTCCATGTGGTACATCTCGTAGAACTTGCCGATCTTGAAGAAGAGGAGGCAGTCGAAGTGCGTCGACTTGACGGCCCACCACTGGCGCTGGACCTCGCTGAGGCCCTTGCCCCGGTAGACCGCGCAGTCCTTGGGCACTTTCAGCGTCCGGCAATCGAAGCCGGCGTCGCCGGGCCGCAGGCCCGCGGCGTCGCGGCGGTCGGCGCCGGCGAAGGCGTAGCCCGGGTCCGTGTCGTGGAGGTGGCAGCCCGCGGGGAAGACGGAGCGGGCCTTGTCGTCGCCCGCGTCGTGGTTCACGAGGGGCTCGTCGTCGTCGTCCGCGGACCGCGCCTTCTCCGCGGACACGGGCGCGGACGCCTCGGAGCCGCCGCTCCGCTTGCGGTACTTGTCGTGGAACGCCGACGCGTCGAAGGCCGCGGAGCCGCGGGCCGCGACGTCCGTCGAGATGCGGCACGGCGCCTTCTTCTTCGGCGGCGCCGCGGCGTCGCCGTCGTCGTCGTCGTCGCTCTCGACGACGATGCGCCGCTTCCGCGCCTTGGGCTTGGGCGCCTCCTCCTCGCTGTCGTCGTCGCTGTCGTCGTCCGCGCTGTCCGCGGCGCCCTCGCCGCCGCCGCCGTCGTAGTCCGAGCCGTCGTCGCCGTCGTCGCCGTCGTCCATGGCGTCGTCGTCGTCGTCGTCGGACGCGGCGCGCTTCGCGCGCTTCGCGGCCGAGCCCCCGGCGGCGGCCGGCGCGCGCTTGCCGCCGTCGTAGGCCTGCGTCGACGCGACGGCCGACGGCGACGCCTCGTCGGCGAGCCACTCGTACTTCTCGACGGCGAGGTCGACGGCCTCGACGTCGCCGTCGTCGTAGCGCACCTCGTGCGTCGCGCCCCCGGCGGTCAGCGACGCCACGCGCCCGGCGTACCAGGCGCCGTCGGCGGGCCACCAGACCTTGAGCCGCTTCCCGACGACCTCGGACCCGGGCCGCACCTTGGCGGGCTTGGGCGTCGCCGACGCCTTCTTGAAGAAGGATGAGAGCGTCGTCTGCTTCTTGCCATCGCTGCTGCCCGTCGAGGACTTGCGCGGCGGCATCGTTGGTCGAGCGCGACGAGGGCGGGTGCTGCCGCTCTGTTCGAATGAGAGAGCGCTCTCCGGCGCGCCGCGAGATCTCGGCATCATGAGCCTGATGCTGTTCAACTTAAAGGAGCATGGCAGGAGGCATGGCCTTGCCACCGTCGACCGCGCAGAAGGCGGGCGCGGTCGACGGGTGGATGGGCGCGGGGATGTCGTAGAGTTCGACCCAGCTGTGGCCAATTCCGGCCCCAAGGGCTGGCCACCACGCATAGAGGCGGTCCTCCGCGATCTTGGACTCCTCCGCGTAGTCTGCGCCGGTGCGCCGCGACGGAAGGACGACGATCATGCCGTCGTAGGCGACAGCACCTCCGATGGGGCCGATGCATAGATTCAACCGTGGGCCGTCCTCCCAAGTACCGTCGCGGATGTCGTAGACGAGGACGCCACGCGAATCATCCGCTTCCCAAAAGCCGCCCATGACGTAGAACTTGCCGTCCAGGACCACGCCTCGATTGTGGCTGCCGCCCCGGGGCATGTTCGGTCCCTGCGTCCAGGTAGTGCCGTCGTAGATGTACAATTCGTCAAGTCTTTCGCCATACGGCGCGCGGCCGCCGGCGACGAGCAGCTTGCCGTCGTGGACCGCGCACGCGATGCCGTAGCGCCCACCACCCGGCATGTCCTCGATCCGTTGCCACGCGTCGCGGTCGGCATCATAAGCGTGCGCAACGTCGTTGATCAGGAGGCCGATGTCGGTTCCCGCGCCGCCGCAAACGACCAGGCGGCCAGCGACGACGCCGCAGGCACACGTGCCGAGTCCGCCGAAGATCGGAAGCGGCGCAAGCTCGCGCCACGCGTCACGGCCGGGGTGATACGCCCAGACCTCCGCGGTTTCGTCTGTGTCCACGTCGTCTCGGTCGTATCCGCCATCGTCCCGCATCTGCCCGCCGATGACGACCATCTCCTCGCCGAGCCACGCGCAGCCCGAGTAAAACGTGCGATCGCCGGGCATCGGCGCGCATCTCCGCGCGGCGCCGTCCGAGAGGAGCCAACACGCCGTGGTCTCCTGGACGTCCGGACCGTAGCCGCCGCCGGAGATGAGCAGGCCGGCATCCGGCGCGGCGCCCGTCACGCGCGTGCACTCCCGGTCGCGAGCGCGACCGGGCATCACGACGTCCACGGCGACGAGCGCGCGCGCACAGTCCATGGTGGCCGCGCGGGCCTTCGCGAACGCCGGCGAGCGGATGCGCGCGCGGATTACCTTGCAAGACAGTGAAATGCGCCGCAAATCCGACGCCGGCAACCCCGCGAGCACGGCGCATTGCACGTCTCCGGGCAGCGTCGCGAAAGCGAATGTTTTTGGCGACGTGGCGACGCCGGCAGGCCGGCATTTACGGCTCCCGAGGCTCGAGTTTCGACCCCCCATCGCGCCAAGAGATCTGCAATATCGACCTTTGGGGGGTTGTTGCCTCTCAACAACGAGTCGATGGCGCGCTGAGTGAGTAGGGGCTGCTCCCTTGCGCCGGACCCGCCATGGCCGCCGGCAAGGTCTACGCAGCGGAGGAGAAGGAGGCCGGCAAAGTCCGCAACGGGTCCGGCCGGCCGTCGTCGGACGAGAGGAAGAGCCTCCGCCGCCAGCAGAGCCGGCGGTCCCTCGACGAGGCCAAGGCCAAGGCCATCAAGTCCGTGCGCCGCGTGAAGCAGAAGTTCTCCGACATGTACAGCCGCAACATGCACTTCGGGAACTACGACGAGTTCCCGCGCCAGAGCCGGCTCGTCAAGGTCTTCAACCCGGAGTCGCGCATCTACATGCTCTGGGAGGGCCTCATGGCGCCCTTCATCGCCTGGGCGGCGCTCGTGACGCCGACGGAGCTCGCCTTCTTCGCCGACGACAACGGCTGGCGCTGCCTCGGGTCCGACTGCGCGTCGTCGGCCGTCCTGATGTTCGCGCTGAACCGGTTCGTCGACGGCTACTTCCTGCTCGACATGGCCGTCGTCTTCAACACGGCCATCTTCGACCCGAAGCGGTCGCGGTGGATTTTGTCGCACGCGGCCATCGCGAGGCGCTACCTGCGGGGCTGGTTCGCGCTGGACGTGCTGTCGATCTTGCCCTACGAGCTCCTGGACGCGGGCGCGTTCCGGAGCTTCCGCCTGCTGCGCGCGCTCAAGGTGCTGCGGCTGCTGAAGCTGCTGCGGGTGGCGCGCGTCGGGCGGTTGCTGCACTGGTGGGCGAACCGGCTGCACCTGTCCTTCAAGACGCTGTCCGTGCTCCGCGCGGCGCTCGTCATCGTCGTCGTCCTGCACTGGGTCGCGTGCGCGTGCCGCATGGTCCAGGGCAGGACAAGGGTGATTCAACGTCGCTTCAACGTGAGTGTTCCGCGCGCGCGCGTTCTGGGAAAAGCATCCACGCTTCGAGACCGTTCCGAGAGATGATCGCTCGTCCAAAAATCAGCCGAAACGAGTGGAAAATGGCCGAGAGAGGAGCCTTTGAAGTTGGGAATTTCGCACTCTTGTCCTGCCCAGGCATGGTCGCGGACCCCTGCTTCGACCGGGGCGACGGCT